CACATGATCATCTCAATAGACGCAGAGAAAGCATTTGACAAGCTGCAACATCCATTTATGATAAAAACTCTCAATAAAATGGGTATAGAAGTAAAGTACCTCAACATAATAAAGGTCATATACAACAAACCCACAGCCAACATCATACTCAATGGGGAAAAACTGAAAGCCATCCCTCTGAGAACAGGAACAAGACAAGGGTGCCCACTCTTGTCGCTCTTATTCAACACAGTATTGGAAGTTTGGGCCAGGGTAATTAGGCAAGAAGTGAAATTCTCACTCTTTGCAGATGATGTGATTTTATATATAGAAAATCCTAAAGAATCCAATGGAAAACTCTCAGAAATAATCAACAACTATAGCAAAGTTGCAGGGTACAAAGTCAACTTACAAAAATCAGTGGCAATTCTATACTCTAATAATGAACTAACAGAAAGAGAACTCAAGAATACAATCTCACTGACAATAACAACAACAACAACAAGATATCTAAGAATAAAGTTAACCAAGGACGTGAATGACCTATGCAATGAAAACTATAAGACACTATTGAAAGAAATTGATGATGATCTAATGGTTTGGAAAGATACTCCAAGCACATGGATTAGAAGAGTAAACATAGTTAAAATGTCCATACCACCTAAAGCAATCTACACATTCAGTGCAATCCCAATCAGAATCCCAACGACATTCTTCACGGAAATAGGACAAAGAATCCTAAAATTCATATGGGGCAACAAAAGATGCCAAACAGTTAACACAATCTTGAGAAAAAAGAAGAAAGCTGGAGGCATCACAATCCCTGACTTCAGTCTATACTCCAAAGCTCTAGTAACCAAAACAGCATGGTACTGGTACAAAAACAGACACACAGATCAATGGACAGAATTCCAAGGCCAGAAATAAAACCACACATCTATAGACAGCTAATCTTTGACAAACGAACTTAAGAACATACAATGGAGAAAGTCTCTTCAATAAATGCTGTTGGGAAAACTGGACAGCCACACGCAAAAGAATGAAAGTAGACCGCTATCTTTCACCATACAGAAAAATTAACTCAAAATGGATCACAGACTTGAAGGTAAGACCTGAAACCATAAAACTCCTAGAAGATAATATAGGTAGTACACTCTTTGTCATCAGACTTAGAAGGATTTTTCTGAATACCATGTCTACTCAGAGAAGGGAAACAAAAGAAAGAATAAACACGTGGGACTTGAGACTAAAAAGCTTCTGCAAGGCAAAGGAAATCAGGAACAAAACCAACAGATAATCCACCAACTGGGAGAAGATATCTGCAAATCATATATCTGACAAGGGGTTAATCTCCAAAATATATAAAGAACTCACACAGCTGAACAACAAAAACAACTCAGTCAAAAAATGGGCAGAGGATATAAATAGACATTTTTCCAAAAAAGACATACAGATGGCCAAAAGGCACACAAAAAGATGTTCAACATCACTAATTATCAGGGAAATGCAAATCAAAACCACACTAAGATATCACCCTGTATCTCTTAGAAGGGCTACAGTTACCAAGACAAAAAATAACAAATGTTGGAAAGGATGTGGAGAAAAGGGAACCCTCATACACGGCTGGTGGGAATGCAAACCGGTGTAGTCCCACAGTATGAAAATTTCTCAAAAAATTAAAAACAGTAATACCACATGACCTAGCTATCTCACTACGGACTATGTACCAAAAGAACTTGAAATTGACAATTCAAAGAGCCTTATGTACCCATATGTTCACTGCAGCATTATTCACTGCAGCCAAGAAGTGGAAGCAACTCAAGTGCCCATTCACTGATGATTGGATAAAGAAGATGTGGGGGGCTAGCCTGGTGGCGCAGCAGTTAAGTGCACACGTTCCACTTCCGCGGCCTGGGGTTCGCTGGTTTGGATCCCGGGTATGGACATGGCACTGTGTGGCAAGCCATGCTGTGGTAGGCATCCCACATACAAAGTAGAGGAAGATGGGCACGGATGTTAGCTCAGGGTCAGTCTTCCTCAGAAAAAAGAGGAGGATTGGCAGATGTTAGCTCAGGACTAATCTTCCTCAGGGGGAAAAAAAAAGAAGATGTGGTACATATATACAACGAAATACTACTTTGTCATAAAAAAAGACAAAATTGTGCCATTTGCATCAACATGGATGGACCTTGAGGGCATTACGTTCAGCGAAATAAGCCAGACAGAGAAAAACAAACGCCGTATGATTTCATGCATATGTGGAAGATAAACTAACACACAGACAAAGAGAACTATTTAGTGGTTACCAGAGGGGAAGGGGGTTGGGGGTGGGCACAAGGAGTGAAGAGGCACATTTATATGGTGACTGATAAATAATAATGTACAACTGAAATTTCACAATGTTATAAACTATTATGACCTCAATAAGAACTAAAATAAAGTAACGCTACCCACTCCTTAGGGTGCGCTGAGCAGTGACTTCCTTCCCAAAAGTACACTATGAAAAGGGGGTCCTGGTGGTAGGTGTAGGTAATCTCACAATAGAGATACCAGAGGACACGCCCTCAGCCACATGGTCAAGGTCAGTATCAGCAGTGATAAGTCATGTGGACAGCATGTACCTCTGAGGTGATGTCATGAAAATGGCACTTCAGCTCTACGTTCCTCCTTCCTCAAACCTATAACCCCAGTCTAATCATGAAAAAATATCAGATAAATGCCAACTGACATTCTACAAAATACATGACCAGTGCTCCTCAAAACTGTCAGGGTCATCACAAACAAGGAAAGCCTGAGAAACTGTCACAGCCCAGAGGACACAGGAGAACTAAACAGAATGTGGGAACTGGATCAGAAGGACCTTATTGAAAAACTGACGAAATCTGAATAAAGCTTGGACTTTAGCTAATAATGCAGTAATATTAGCTTATTAAAAATAGAACAAAACTAATGTAAGATGCCAATAATAAAGGAAAATGGGGAATGGGAATTCACTGCATCATCTCTGCAATTTTTCTGTAAATCTAGATGTGTTCCAAAATCAACATTAAAAGCAAAAAGTAATATTAAAAGCCACTCTCACTCATTAAGTCTCTTTTTAAAGACTGGCACCAGAGCTAACATCTGCTGCCAATCTTCCTTTTTTTTCCCCTTCTTCTTCTTCTCCCCAAAGTCCCCCAGTACATAGCTGTATATTCTAGTTGTGGGTCCTTCCGCTCATGCTATGTGGGCTGCTGCCTCAGCATGGCTTGATGAGCAGTGCCATGTCCGTGCCCAGGATCCAAACCAGCAAAACCCTGGGCTGCCGAATGGGAGCAAGTGAACTTAACCACTCGGCCATGGGGCCGGCCCTCACTCATTAACTTTGATGCAAAACTCCTAAGCAAAATATTAGCAAACCATATCCAGCAAGATATAAAGAGAATAATACATCATGATCAAGGTGAGTTTACACCAGGAATGAAAGGCTAGGTTAATCTCAAACCTGATCGAAAAATCTGATCCATGTAAATTCACTACATTAATGGAATAAAAGAGAAAAGTCATAGGAGTATCTCAATGGATGCAAAGTGTTTAACAAAATTAATATCTAGTTATGATAAAAACTCTTAGCAAACAAGAAATAGAAGGTAACTTCCTTGACCTGATGACAGGTGGCTTCTGGAACCCTACAGCAAATACAGTATATAGTGAAACATTAAAAGCTTTCCCTTTGAGATGAGAAATGAGACAAGGATGCCTGGTGCCTCCTATTTAACGAGCAGGGGTCTTACCCAGTGTGATTTAAAAAAAAAGAAAGATGCGAGAAATAAAATTGTCATCATTTCCAGATGATATGATTATGTAAGTAAAAAATCCCAAAGAATCTATGGGTACTTTATTATGATTAATAAGTCAGTTTAGATAAATTGATAGACATAAGGAAAACTACAAAAAATAATTTATATTTGTAATACCAGTGACAAATATTTATAAAAACTTAAAAATATACCACCTACTATCAAACACCTAGAAATAAAGCTAACAAAGGACGTGCAGGAGTTTTACACAGATTATAAAAGAGAAATTAAAGAGAATCTAAACAAATGGAGGGATATAGCATCTTTATAAAAGTCTCAATATTATGAATTTGTCAATTCTCCCCTAAAATGATCCACATAAATTCCAAAGAGTTTCACTGGGATACGAAAAGATGAGTCTAAAATTTACATGAAAATACAAAAGGCCAAGAATAGCTGAGGAACTCCTAAAGACAGAAAGACTTGCTTTACCATACCCAGAACCAGTAATAGTAATTAAGACAGAGGAGGGTTAGCACGGGACAGACACACTGGCCGATGGATTAGAAGAGTGAGTAGAAACACACCCACACATGTATGGTCACTTGTTCACAATAAAGGTGGCAAGCAGAGCAGGGGGCAGGGGAAGTGTTTCAAAAACTAACTTCAGGTGAATTTCAGACCTAAATGTGAAAGCAGAATAAAACATCCAGAAGGCAATGGAGGAGAATACCTTGAGGACCTTACAGCATGCAAAGATTTCTTAAACAAGGCAGGCAAAGTTCAACTACCAAAGAAAAGAAACTGGGTGGCAGTGAAATGTAAGAGCTTCTGTTCATCAAAAGGCTCGTGAAGTCAGTGCATAACTGAGGGAGCCACAGCTGACATGTGTGAGAGCAAAGAGCTGGTGATTCAACAGCTGGAAACGCTGGAGGAGATGAGGGGCGCTTCTCTCTCAGACTGCCAGGGTCATGTCGTGTCCTCTTGCATTCCACACCAAAAGCTGCTCCCCCTCCCAGATGCTCACGAGCAAACCCCTGATCTGCCCAGGGGAGCTGTCAGTGCAGACACCAAGAACCTACTTTATCCTGTACTGAGAACTGTGATAGATGCAAAGGGCTACCCTACATAAAAGTAATGACATAAAATGGGCAGTTTTATTCACATTTTTGCCTTTGCTTTTGAAAGGGAAGACAGTTTGAGGCCAGAGTCATAGGAAGAGAGAAAGCAGACAAACCATACCTCCACGAGGGCGAGCTTCTCCTCGCTGGTGTAGTTGTAGCGGGTGGCACGCTCGTACTCCTCAGCGTTGTCAGGGCAGTCCTTGTTGGAGTACTTGTCCGTCGGGTGCACAAGTTTCCATGAACACTGGTGTGGTCAGAAAGGAGGAAGACATTCACACTGAACGAACAATGCTTAACTGCTTGTCTCACTCACGTGACCTTCACCAAAGCTACCGAAAGGTCAGCCTTGTAGTATTTGCAGAGTCTGAAAGTCACGCTCACTCACACACACACACTACACATGCGTACACACACCACGCAGACACACACAGAGTCCATCTCCCTAAGAGTGCAAAACATTCTGGCCATGCGACTTTGGGTTTAAGAAACAGACCAGAGGTTTAAGAAATACATCAGACAAAACGGCCTGGATATTTTAACTCTCTAACACGCTAGGCATTTCATCACCATTTAAAAAAAGAATTAGCTATTCAAATGATCATGTACTCATCCAATATAATTTTGGTCTGATCAAAATAAACAACAAAAGAGAAAACTTTCTATGACTTATAGGTATCCAAATCTTTATATGCCATCAGAAACCATTTTACTAATACTAAACAAAAAAAGTGATGGCTAGAACCCCACAGAGAAAACATCGTTTAAATAAAAGAGAATTAAAAATCATCATAACAGTACTTAAATTTAATTCTATAAAAGGTTTTAAAAGATGAGGCCCTTTATTTGTAACATACATAACATACGTGCAATGTATGTTGAGTCATCTTAGAAACATTTAAATTGATATATATTCCTTATTTCTAAGGCCAAAGCTAAAAAGCCAATGTTTTCTTGATCCAAAGACCAAAGTCAATGCAGAACAAATATCACTTAGTCAATTTCTTGGAGCTTGGGAACAAAAGCACTTCTAACCAGCTGGAGGTTGATGTTCTTTTAATTCCCTGCATTTCCAAATAAAAGCAAGCACAGAATGCCTACCACTTCCATCACATGGGCGCTCCACTGAGACAGCAACTGCAGGCCCTGCAGTGCCAAGTCGAAGAGCTTCCGGGACTCAGCATCTGTCTTCTGAGCCTCCTGGCGGCCAGACCCTGTGACAACCTAGAGCACAACAGAAGTATCAGGAAGACACCCCACATGCAGAAAAACCACCTATGCATTTACCCCGTGACCCACCAAACCCACTCTAGGAACCTACTCTAAAGGTACATTCTAAAATATGAAATGATGTGGGCACACAAGCCTTCCCTGTAGCAACAGGCTGGCATCCACAGAGCCCCCAATGATGAATGCTCTGTAGCTCTCAAAGCAAAGAGAAAAGATGCTGTAGACTGTGCTGGATGAACCTCCAGGGCATGGTGTTCAGAGAGGCCTGTGCACAGTATGTTTCCACTTGCCAAATAAAGGAAAACGTGCACATCCTGTGTATTTGCTTATATCAAATAAAACAGATTTAAGTATAGTGACCTACAGGGCAGGGAGGCACAGGGTGGAGGGGAAGCCAGCTTCTCTGAGCATGCCTCCTTTGAGACATCTGACTTGGGAACCACATAAACGGTATATACTATGACGTAACATTAAATTGGGGGGGGAAGGGATCCCTGAAACTCAAAAGCAAAATGAAACAATGAACTGAACTGTGTAATAAGTTGGCATCATGGCCGCACAGTGGGGCCATATAGCATAAGTGTCTGATAATTGGCTTTTTTTGATTATAATGTAAGTGCCTGACATTAACCTTTTGATTGCCAAGGGATCCATTTCAAAGACATCCATCTCAAATAAACACACTGCCAGCTACACAACTAGATAAAGAGCCAGGCTGCTCCACCCATGAAGTTCCCCTTTTAGAAAGCCCTGGGTGACCCAGGGGACTGGAAGCGCTGACAGTTAGTCTTTCTTTTTTGTAATGCAAGTGCCTCACATAAGCTTTGATTGTGTGGCATCCACTTCAAAGATAGCTGTCTCAACAGACACACTGCCAGCCACATGACCAGATAAAGAGCGAGGCCACCTGCCTCCCTAAGGCTCCTTTGCTTTAGAGATCTTAGTTGGTTTCCATAAGTGACCATTTGGGCCACTTGTTTTTTCTCTTCCCACGCTTTACATTCCCACTCTTACGTTTTAAATTCACCAGTAAAGAGTGAGCCCATGAAACACTACACCCCTACCCTCAACTCCAATAAAAGCAGAACCCCAGGCCCACATACATGCTCTCTTTCTACCCTCAGGCTGCCACAAGTAGCACAGTTCCAAGAGAGTGTCTCAGCATCACTATCAATAGGCTGAGACCAACACAAAACAAAACACTTCAAGCGACTTTGAAAGACAGTGAGTGAACAACCCAGAGGGAGAAATCTAAGGACAAAATCCACAAAAAAATAAATCTTAAACAATTTTTGGTAATTGTATTGTTATTATAATATAACATAAAGTTATACATTACGATATACAACTATGTTGTTTCTAGTAATTATATGATTATTAGCAGTGCCAGTATTGCTATTTTAAATTGCTGAGTGTATCTGAGACATCAAGTCAAAATTTGCAGGAGTCATTAAGATCAGTATGGGAAAAAAAGAAAAAGAAAAAAAACTGAAGTAGATTGACTTCAACACAGTACTAAAAAAACCCTTGATTTGTTACCTTAGATGATGCTAGGGAATCAATTATTTTTAACAATTGATACGTAAAGCAAAGGAATCCCAGCTGTGACCTTGTCTCTTCTGGAGGAGGGATCCCACAGAGTAAGGCACAGCTGGTATGAGGGCTGAGGAGGAGGGCAGAACTAGAGTATCACCCTTACAGGTGCACGCAGCTAGGCAGCAGACAACGCTGCCCGCATCACAGAGTCAGCCAGACATTCCAGCGGTTTGCGGCATGGCCGACGAAGGGCCGAGTGGGCTGAGAGAAGGGAAGCTGAGTCTGATCAGGTCTCCAGATCTAACTACCAATGTACAGGAAACACGGCACAGAAGTCATGGCAAATGATGCCCCAGAGAGTGAGAGAGACGGAGGGGGACACATCTCCGAGGAGACACATCAACAAACTGCAGTGTCTGGAACTTAATTTGGATCCTGAGGCAAACAAATTTGGAAAAATAGTGTGTGTGTATGTATATACATATACTTGTATACACAGTGGAATATTATTCAACCATAAAAAAGAAGGAAATCCTGGGCCAGCCCAGTGGCACAGCGGTTTAGTTTGCACGTTCTGTTTCAGCGGCGTGGGGTTTACAGGTTTGGATCCCGGGTGCGGACCTACGCACCACTTGGCAAGCCATGCTGTGGCAGGCGTCCCACATATAAAGTAGAGGAAGATGGGCATGGATATAGCTCAGGGCCAATCTTCCTCAGCAAAAACAGGAAGACTGGTGGCAGATGTTAGCTCAGGACTAATCTTCCTCAAACGAAAAAAGAAGGCAATCCTCCCATTTGTAACAACGTGGATGAACCCTGAGGGTACTGGGCTAAGTGAAATAAGTCAGACAGAGAAAGACGAATACTGTACAGTCTCACTAATACGTGGAATCTAAAAAGTTTGGTAGTTTTAGCTCTTACAATTAGTTTTATGATCAATTTTGAGTTGCATTTTTTGTATGGTATGAGGAAAGGGTCCAACTTCATTCTTTTCTATGTGGATTCCCAGTTTCCCCAGCATTATTTGTTCCCCACTGAGTATACCCTCATCAAAAACCAACTGACTCTACAACCCTGGGTTCATTGCATCATTATTCACAATAGCCAAGACACGAAACAACCAAAGTTGCTGGTGGCCTAGTGCTTAAGTTCAGTGCTCTCCACTTCAGTGGCCCAGGTTTGGTTCCTGGGCTTGGACCTATATTTTTCTGTTAGTCACCATGCTGTGCTGACAGCCCACATACTAAAAATTAGAGGAAGATTGGCACGGATGTTAGCTCAGGGCGAATCTTCCTCAGCAAATAAATAAACAAACAAACTGAGTAAAGCATTCAAAGGTCGATCTCTTTCTTCTTGTTAAAATCATCATCTTATCCTGAAGGTACTACACTCAACAGCAAAAGGAAGATGACAGGAACCATGCATGCTGTTAGATGCTCTTATTTGGAGTAAAAATCAGCTCTACGTGTTGTTTGAGAGCTTCCCATGAACTCGGTTTACAACTACATCATGAAGTCTCAAGGGGCTGCTCCCCATCTCTACCCTAAGGGCTGCGCTGGCCGCTGGAGAAGGGGTGAAGTAAAGCCTCCTCACTAGGGAGTCGGCCACCTACCAGGGGTCTGCTGGAGGCAGCACATGCCCTAAGACATCTGGGCTGTCTTTCAGTCATTCTAGTTGTATGACGACTAGCGTTTGGTGGGTGGGGGCAGGGGTGCTCATCATCCTGCAATGGGTGGGGCCAACGCACAGAGCTGTTCCCCACAAATGTTAATGGTCCTCCTGAGAACCCTGAGGTACCACAGTCTCACAAACCAGACCTGTGTCTGTGGCCCCAAGTCCCCGGGTTCTTCTTGACTATTTGCAGAACCCATACCACTGACCACTGCTTTGACCTTGCTGCCTTGTCTGCTAAGATATGAGAAGTGCCATTCCCAATGCTCCTCCACACTCACACACCCCTCCAGCACACCCCACATACTGGCAGGGCTAGCTTGGAGTCACACTTGACAGGTGGGGATAACGTGATCAGCCCAAACAAGGACACAGGAAACCCAGCTGCAAAGCCGAAAGGAATTAACAAGGCCTGAAGCCGAGGAGATAGCGCTTCCTCCTACACCCAACTCCAGGCCCTCCCCTGGGCACCAGGACGTCCTCCCACCGACCCAGCAGCTCCTACACGCCTCTGCCTTCAGGACTTCCTGCCTCTAGGCACGAAACAGCCACAAGCCATAATCACTCCTTTCCTGAGGCCCTACCCTCTCTCTTCTAGCAGCTTGGAAACAAGACTAGACTAGGAAACAGACTTAATTCAGGGTCTTTCCTCAGTCCTTTCTTTTGGGACCTCTATTACATTTTTCTGAAAAAAGATCTACAGGTGAACAGATAAAACCGATGCTCACTGCACTGCCATCCATTATAACGAGTGCTTTTTAAGTATTCGTACTCAACCATGCTTCTCAAAGCAAATTAACGTCAGTTTTCGGTTGCAGAGAACACAGATGACATTCTAGGGCCATCTGTCCTCAGGTGTCAGTGCGGGCGGGCGCAGAAGGCCCACTCACCTCACTGTTGCTATAGCGTGCCAGCTCTGAGATGAAGCGCATGTGGTCCTCCCGGATCTGGATCATCTGCTCACAGATGTTGTACTGCGGGCTGCTACTGGAAGATGTGCACGTCCATCTGCAGTGAAGGGGAAACGTGTGTCACCTGAGGGCACTTGCACAAGGCTTATGCAGCACAACGCTGGGTGCCCAAGGACACATGCATAGCGTGGGAGAGGAGCTGGAGGCTAGGAAACAATATGGAATTCTCAGCAAGGAAACAGAGCTGGCCCAGCCCCCTCTCCCTGTGTCAGGGTCACTGCCCTACCTTCTCATATCTGTGTTTTGGAAAAGGAATTGTAATTTCTCTATGATCAATAAACCATTTTCTAGAACGCTGAGAGACGCTGCTGGATCTACGACAATGCATCACCCTTGCGAGGATCTCTTGACGTATTATTGCAGAGTTGCCAGGAACTATTTCTTTATTACTCATGTGGGAAAATATAAGCTATAGTACAGAAACAAATCAGCCAAAGACTCAGGAGCAAAACTTCTCCTTACGGGGAGAGTTGAAAACTGACATCACCTGGAAGTTAGACACTGTCACCATAACTACCTATGTGCACAACACACCATTTCAGCAGCAAACAGACACAATTTAGTGGGAAAGAAGTTTATCAAGAACTGAAACTGTTGGTGCTCTTGGGCAGAAAGCATGGATCTTAGGACTTAGACGGCTGCCCCCTCACATGTAGCACCAGTACTCTCTCTGTGTTTTCAACAAGCTGGTCTCCTTTTCGTGAAGGGATGGAATGCAAGCTGCCACTTATTGTGAGACGATCAGTGCACTGTCTCAAGTAGTACCTCTTTCTCTTTGATTCCACTACAGGATGATGGGATGATTATGTTGGCATTATCCCAGGCAGCTCCTCAAGTCTGCAATGAGCGTGCAAGGCACAGGCTCTGCACTGGGATCCATTCTCAATACACTTGCCTCCCCTGCAGACCCCCAACAGCATATCCACCTCAGGCAAGGCACTGGAGCCCAGAGCCTGATTGCTGGCATTGGCACACTCTGCATCTGCCCTTTCTGGGGCCAGATGCTGGTGTGGGGCCCCTGGGCCAGGCTCCCAAAGCTGATTGCTATATGCTCAGGCACCTCCCAAGGAAGCTGTGAAACATGGGCATTATTACCAATTAAATGCTATAAACTTAGAATAAATCATATTAAAAACAGACAATAAGTGCACAAACTCATGGTTTCCTGATAAGACTTTCCCATTACTTATGATCTAGAGCTAACCCCTATCTGTTAGGGCAGAAGCATTGTGTAATGAATGTCACGCTGTCAGCCTGAACTCAGTCACAGCCGGACATTCACACCATGGACATCAGCTCATGTTCCAAATCAGAGTTTGAGGTGGTACTGAAGCACAAAGAAGTTTCAGCTTAATGAACTTAACATAGAGGAGAGTGAGAAGTCATCTAAGAGTGGATCACATAGCAGATTTAATGGCAAATATATCTGGAAATAAACTAGCACAGAGGTCGGCAAACTACAGCACAGGTCAAATGCGGTCAGCTACTGTATGGGTCTACGGCCGTACAAATGGTTTTTACATTTTTAAAAACCTGCTTAATAAGATAAAAAAGAAAAAAAAAAAAAACAAAGGAGAATATGAGACAGAGACCACATGTGGCCCCTGAAGCCTAACGTGTTTACTATTTGGCCTTTAAAGAAAAAGACCGCCAGCCTCAGAGTGAACAGATTGAGATGCAACTGTGTTTTTCAAAATCATGGTTGAACTTCGGCCAGTTTGGCTATGGGTGCATGCTTCTGACAAAAGTCAGCAAAAGCATCCTATGAGACTCACCCGCCTATGTGGAATCTACAATAATACCTTAACTGTGAGCTACAGATCCTATACGGCAGGGTTGGCCACCTTTCTCTATATAAGACCAGAAAGTAAATACTCTAGGATTTGTGGGCTACACTGTCTCTGTCACATCTGTCACATAGTCATCATTGTCTTATTTTAAAAACAACCCTTTGAAAATGTAAAGATCGTTCTCAGCAACAAAGACTTTCCAAAAACAGGCCTGGGCTGGATTTGGTCGGCAGGTTACAGGCTTGTACCCTCTGTAAGATACACGCAAACATCCCACCCACAAACAGGGCTGCTTGTTAAGAAGTGACCAGCAGACCACAAGGCCCAGAGCATTTGTTAACAAGTCTACATTCTCAACCAGCACTATCCAAAAGAATTCTCTGGGATGATGGAAAAGTTCTGTATCTGTGCTCACCAATACAGTAGCCACGAACTATTAAATATTTGAATGGCTAGTCCACTAAGAAAATAAATTGCATTTTTTAATGAATTTAAAGGTAAACAGCCACACGTGGCAAGGGCTACCACATTAGGCATTCAGTTCCAGAGAGTTGAGAATGGCAAAGGTGTTATCTCAGATAAATGACTAGAGTTATTAAACGACAGTGAGGCCACAGCAGAATGCTCTAATGGGCAGCTCGTCCTACCGAGATTTATTTTCCTCATAGTGCGTGCTGGTCTTGATGTATCTTGCCAGTTCTATTTGCATGTCCCCAAACAGTGGAACCACCTGGAGCTGCTGTATTCAAAGAACAAAAAAAACAGGGTCATTATGTACGTTTAGTCACCAAATACATAAACACAAGAAGAACGAGTAATAGTAATAATTACTATGCATTGAACGCTATTTCTGCAAATCATTTACTGCAAAAAAGTTGTAAATAACTTCTACATGCACTTTCGGAACAAAATACAAATTAAGAACCAACATTCATAAAACCAATTCAAATATTAAAATTAACCTACCTTTTGCTAGATCTATAGTTACAAAAAAATCAACTGCATTTCTATATGCAAGCAACAATTAGAAAATGAGGGGCCGGCCTGGTG